TTGGAGTGGATTAATGTATCTGCAATACTTTTCAGAGTAAACTAATAATTTTTCCCGAGCAAAGCTCGGTCCCAGGTACTCTTACTAATATTATAAATGTGAAAGTTTGTGTGTTTGTTTGTTTGTTTGAAGGTCAATCACGCATAAACCACTGGATGGATTGGGCTGAAATTTGGCATGATGATAGCTCACATTCCCGATTAACATATAGGCATATTCTTATCTCAAAAATCCCTTCGGGCTCCGCCCCAGTGGCTCTGTAGTTCCCCATGTTAACCTTATGAGTATTCATATTTAAAGGGAATTAAAGAATTTAGTCAGCTGTTTCAACTAAAAAAGTTGGTTCTATGATATACAAAAGCATTAAAAAGTTATAAGATTTACCAACAGGGTGCAGCACTATATGTTTTTTGCATTTATGTAAACACCTAATTTGAACTAAGCAGCAACAAACAACTGTGATACGCAATGAGAACTGTCAAAGTAGGATTGTTTACAGTTATGTTTGTTTTTAATGTAATGAATAATTTGTGATTTTTTTAAATTTGTAATACTTTATTTTTCTTTATTGTTAAGGTGAAGAGGTAGAACATTATGGCTATGGTAGATTTGTAATACCATAGTATACCGTCAATTTATAGAAGCAAATTTTATCAAACTTTGTCCTCCCCCATTGCAAGCGAAAAGCTTGAGTATAACTGGAATAAGCAATTTAAACTTATATGCCAACCCCGTTCGAAGGACGGGTACTCTGATAGTAATTCAATAATTTTCAAACTCATATAAACCAACTAGAAGAACAATGTGGCAACAGTGCAGAGATTTGGCATCGTTGCAGTCTTAGAATAGAAAGCTCAAACATCATAAGCTCACCTCCATCCCCTGACCTACCAAACATACCTCAAGCCAGTACAGGGACAATAGGTAGGCAATCAGACAGTGACATACGTGCGCCCCCAGTCTGCGCAAACGTTCGGTTTTCTACGCCCTCGCTGTAATTTGTCTGCTGACCAATAATTTAAATAAATAGTAATGATGTTTTAAGTTATGTGAATACAAACTCTGCTCCTGAGGATGCCACACTTGTGGCGAAATGTACGTCGAGCTTGAAAATCTACAACCTTTAAGAACCTGGCAAACAAAAGGTAAACCAATAAATATCCCAGGTAACACGTAAACTTACAGCAAGCCTTCCTTTTCGTTAGGAACAAAAAACTTATCGGACTAAACTTGCCAAACATCAGAGGCAAGTTCTCCTAAGAAAATTTGAGCGACATAAACTTACGGCAAGTCTTCCTTTTCGTTAGAAACAAAAAACTTATTGGACAAAACACCAGAGGCAAGTTCTGGTTTTAGGTAATTCCATAGTTTTAGGAATTATTTCATACTTACTTAGTAATTTAGATAAACTATATTTATCTCAGGGCTTATAACAGCCCTGATTAAAAAATCGAAGGTAATTGTATAGTAATAACAATGTAGGCTTTGCAACAAATTTAAAACAAAACACAAAGATAAAGTGGTCAGCTGTTTAAGTTTTCAACGCTTGCAATTGTATGACACTGAACATAAAATTACTTTTATCCTGTACTGTTATGGATAGGCCTTAATTTTTGCACACTAGTCACAATATAGGTAATCTCAAAACCGCTTCGAGGATTCCCTTTAAATGCTGCTTGATAAAATGTTAACCAAGCACTGTTGTGAGTGCATGAAAGTCACGGTATATGTTTAATATGAAATATTTGGTCTAAATGTTGATGTTTGATTTATTCTTATGTATTCAAATATAGTCCATTCTCAATAAACTACGACTCAGGATTATTGGAGGCAGCTTAAATGTAGGCTTAAATATTAATTTTTATTCTCTATCTAAACCTTACAATAATGTGAAATAAATGTTTTTATTCAAAATTATTACTTGGAACAAGGCAGGTCTTTTATTGTCCTATGTATTGAGTAACAGATATACAGTAGACTCCCTCTCGTTCGGCCTCGGTTGATTCGGTCTCCGGATGGTTCGGCCGGCCGCCGGAATAAAATTTTCTTTTAATTGAGGTTATCTTAGCTCTAGTTCACTGCACACGTGTTCACTGTTCAGTACAGTACCAGTCGTTCGTGTGTGTACATTTACAGTAGTTGTGACTTTGCTTAGTGAGCTGATTTGATTGTGTTGTGTTTACTGTACCCCACTTTTTAAGTTATTGTACGTACTGAACATTATTATGAGTGCTAAACAAAAACGTACATTTGTGACAATGCAACAGTGGTTGCAAGCTCTAGAGAGAATAGACAAAGGTGAATCGGTCCAAAGTATTTGTACAGATTTTGGGGTTCATAAAAGCACCGTAAATGACTGGCGTAAAAACTGAAAATCAATCGGGGCTTTTTGTACGCAGATCGAATTTGAAAAAGCTCTTTCATCACGTTGCACATTAAAAAAAACATAAAAATGAATTGGTGAACGATGCTCTTTGGGTGTGGTTCATGCAGGAACAAAGAAGGGAAACGCCGATCAGTGGCCCTATTTTAAAGGAAAATGCAGTTATCTTACATGGTAAACTTGGAGAATAGTGGGAATTTGTGGCTAGTGAAGGGTGGCTTTCCTGTTGGAAAAGAGACATGGTGTTCATTTTCTTGGAGTGTGCAGCGAAAAGCTATCGGCAGACCCTGTTGGTGCAGCTGAATTTTTGAAAAAAATTTAGGAAGTTATTGCTGACAATAGCCTATGCCCGGAACAGGTTTACAATATCGATGTACTACAAATGGGGCTGTACTATAAACTCTTGCCACGGAAAACATTTACTGCAGCAACAGAAATCTCTGCTTCTGGGTTTAAGGTCAGTAAAGATAGGATCACAGTGGCACTTTGCTCCAATGCTTCGGGTACCCAAAAATTGCCACTTTTTGTAATCGGAAAATCAGCAAAACCGAGAGCATTCAAAAACTTAGACAAGGACATGTCAAAACTATCAGTGGAATACCACTAGAAGCCAGCTTGGATGGACTCGTATTTGTTTAAAGAGTGGTTAGTGCCTAAAGTAAAAAGTTGTTTGTTGAGTTTAAATCTCCCTGTAAAAGCACTTCTTGTTCTTGACAATGCCCCATCCGGATGAGTTAGAATGTGATGGCGAGTCTGGAAAAAACTGTACTATCTGCCCTCCAACAGCCTATGAACCAAGGGGTATTAGAGTGCTTCAAAAGAAAATATCATCGAAAGCATCTTTAAGAAGTTTTGTACAAACTGGAGAGCGATGAAAACACTGATCTTATCCAAGTGTTAAAACAATCAACATGAAGGACGTGATTTTCATGGTAGCAAAGGCCTATGACAAAGTACAACCTTTAACATTAGTAAAGTTGTGGAGAAAGGTAAGGCCGAATGTTGAAGAAGTTGTTGCAAGGGAAGGCAATGTTGTTGATGTGCAAAGCCTTGAATGTGAAGCAGATGACCAAGCTTATATCCTCAATAATCTACAGCAACTGCCTCACAGTGAAAATATTGAGCTAGAAGATGTTTTGGAGTGGGTAACTGTTGAAAAGGAGGTGGTCAGGTGGGCAGTTAAATTTTGGATAACAAAGAAATCGCTCAATCAGTTTTACAACGACAATAAACCCAAGAGGAGAAGATGAAGGTGGCGACAGTGAGGAGGACGACGAGTGTAAAATGAGTCACACAGAGGGAATGGCAGCCCTGCAACTGGCTACAACCTACAACGAACAACAGACAAGTTCTACAGCAGTTGACATAATGCTTTTTAGAAAATGGTGTGACTATGCTAGAAAGAAAACAATTGAATAAAAGGTGCATCGAAAAATTACCGATTTCTTTTAAACTTTGTCATTACAGCGCAGTACTGTAAAGTAGTTTTAACTTAATTCCAGTACAATTTCATTGCTGTATGGTTTCTTTTTTATTGTATTTAGGCCTACAGTACTTCTGTTTTTTGTGTGTGAAATAAATGAATAATGTCAGTATCAAGTGTACAGTACGTGTTTTTATTAGTCAAAACCAACATTTCTGAGGGTAAGTTTAAAATCTACACCTACCCTAAGTCTAGTCTATTTTAGTTTAGTGTTAAAGTACTAAGAAAAAATACAACTCTTATTACACCATTTTGAAACCTACAAGTTTTTAAATTAATTATTTCGTATAGATCACTTATAAGTCAATTTACGGCCATTTTTTAGTTTGGCTGGTGGTTGGGTCCCGAGGTGGTCGAACGAGAGGGAGTCTACTGTAGATACAAAATATATTATACTGGAGGGTTTATTACAGCCTAGCCTTATGACACATAGGAGTTTTGCGGTATCAGAGGTAGCCTTGGTTCCAAATATCCCATATAATTGGTAGTGTACTATATTATATTTCATCGACAAACTATTATACAGAGTGTTCATAAAAGTGTCACAAGAGGTATGAGGTATAATCAAACAAGTTGTGATCGCATCGTTATTTTTAATCATACCTTGCAGTCATATTAAAACTTATTAATAATTTAACAGACCACTACACGCTTGCCTGGCTAGTTTGCCTAAAGCTTGTCAGGATAAGTTTGCCTCAAATGTTTATTTAAGGCGTTATATATACTTGCCAGCAAAGCTTTCAGAAAGTTTTGGTGTTAAGTTTTCACAAACTTGCCAAGAAAAGCTTAAGTCAAGTGTTTAAAATGGGAACTAGAAAGCTTGCCTCACACTTGCCACTAGTTTGGTTATTTGTCAAAGAAAACAAAACTTTAAACAAGTGTTTCTAGCTTGCCATGGCAAGTTTTTAGAACACTGTTCTCAAGTTATTTTTCTCACCTGGGATAACATTTATGATTGGATCGTTTTATTTGGTTAAACAATATTTTAAATTACTGAAATAACAAGAAACGAATTGAAAACAAAACACCAGATGAAACTAACAATGAAGTTGTCTTCAGCTGATCCATAAAGATGAGGAATCTACTAAGGGAGTAGGTTTCAAATTTGCAAAAGATTGATGTCTCAATACTTACTGTCAGCCTCATGGAACTTTGCTGCAGCATCCGTCAATTGAAGTAGTTCTTCCTTCTGCTGCTTTTCATGCTCCAACTCACTCTCCTATAAAAAAAAAAAAAAAACTTTATTATGAAAATAAATAATTAATTAAATTGCAATCCTTTTATACCTAGATTTAACCATCTATACTTAGTTTAAAAATAGTCATACTGTTATCATACGATTAGCACTAAGCCTGAAATGATTTTTATTTTAGTTATTGTCTTCAAGATTTATATTATTCAGTTTGCACAATGGATTTTGGGATCATTTGAGGCTCTCAGACAGCATGTGAAATAATCTCTCTAGAGCTGCGAATGAACACATAACTTAAGTAGACTACCGTTAGAGATGTAAAATACCCCAATGTTTATTACTGTGGGTAAATATCTTTTTTTTTTTATTTACAAATCCAAAAATTTTGGGTCAAATCAGAATCCGAATCATAGTTCTACAGTTTTTATCGAATCCGAGTTGAATCTGAATTTTTCAATTAGGTAGTCCCAAGTCGAATCTGAATCTCAAATTTACAGCCGTTATTGAATACAAATTGTTAAATCAGTTCCATGTTGAATCCGGATCTACAATTTTTTTTGTGATGGACTACCAATTTATGTACAGTAGACTCCCTCTTATCCGGACTCCTCGGGATTGAGGACAGTCTGGATAGCGGTTTTTCCGGTTAAACCGACATCCCCAAATCTCGTTAAAAACGGACCGTTTAAATGCATACTTTTTACAGTATTTGACTTAAATTTAGGTGAGCATTGTATTTAGACACCTGATCACTGGTCTCAAATCTTTCCCACGAGAACAGCCGTTTCAGTACCGCCCACTTCCTACCAATCTAGTCCGGTTAAACCGATGTGCTGATAAAAATTGTCCGGTTAAAGAGATGTCATTTCCGCCGAGTGTAGTCCGGTCAAAAAGTGTCCGAATAAGAGGGAGTCTACTGTAGTCTAAAACATAGGCCTATACACACCAGTGTTATTTCTCTACATTAGCTTATGTCCGTAAGACTATTACAAGTTAACTAACAACTCACTTTGTGAGATAGATAAGATAGGGTTCAAATGCGACATAAAGCCTAACACTTATATTATGGTCAAGTTACTAACATGAACCAGGCAAAAGCAAATCAGAGGACACAAGAAGTTTTTAGTGTCAGCTGTCCAATTTTGACCCATTGAAACTTAGGCAATACCCTACGTCTATAAATTTTAAAACAAACAAGCTAAAAACAGACTAAACTAACTTAGCTGTTATTTTTAGAACCAAAAAGGACGTCATAGTCTGCCTATTAAACTATAAAACAGATTGAGGATGATAACACTAATCTGGATAATTTACTAAGGAAGCTTTATTCTAATAAACAATTTTAATCATATAATCAAAATTAATATAAATAGAAATAGATCAAACTATAAGTATATGCTATAACTAATCATACTAATTAATTAGTTATTTACACATAATGTCAACCTTTTACTACCCATAAGTTTACACTTAAATGTGGCTATCTTTACCGGTACATCATATTTTCCATTTAATCAGACAAAGTGCATCATCAGAACTATAAATTAGAATAAGTACCGACTGAACATTGCTCGAGGTGTTTCATTTGTTCAAGAGGTTAACAAGTTTAATATGGGCCTACGATACGGTTACCCTGATAGTATAAAATACAGTACAAGATATGTAATAAAATAAATTATATATGTAATAACAGTAACATTGTGTCATGCTCAAGTATTGGTGCTGTATAGGCTAGAAGCATTTTGTTAACAACCTTGAAGTCCCAAGTGATTGTACATAAACACAATTATGTGAAAGGTCTTCAGAAAATGTTATAGAAACCAAAGAATTCCACTTATCAATCTACTCTTACTCTTAGAAATGTGTTAAAATGTAGTGTAAACGTAAATAGGAAAAAGTGTTAAGACTGCACATAAACACTCTGAATACACTCAAGGTTGGTAGAGAGACAGGTTGACGCATCACAATCTCGCCTGGCAGCATGCCAAACTGATTTTGGAAGGCACTGTGTGGTGTAGTCGAGTGACCGCTCAGCTCCCCACCCCTCTGCACACGCGAGGTTCAACCACTTGTGTCAGTCTCAGTCACAGTCAGTACAACTAGTAGAGCAGTCCTACAGTGCAGTGAAGTGGTGATGGTGGTATTGTTGTGTTGTGTGTGTTAACGAAGATAGCAATGTACTGTAGCAATTTGTAATAACAGTTACAGCAAAACGAGATATAAAGCTATTAGTTATTTAACTTCCCAAAAGATATAGAATTAAGGAAGAAGGGGGTTCATTTATGCAGGCGAGGCGGCAAATGGAACCCCGATTCATGCTCTGTTTTCTCGGAAGACTTCTTACCAGAAGATTTTGAGTGGGATTAAACGATGACATATTCGTTGACAAAACCCCAATATATCAGTTTTGAAAAGTTTGGCTGGTTCTTTATGTCAGGGATCTTGAAGTTCAGGTGTAAAATCATTTCAGTTTTTAAAAGTTTGGCTGGTTCTTTGTGTCAGAAATCTTGAGGTTCAGGTGTAAAATTATATCAGTTTTGAAAAGTTTGGCTGATTCTTTACGTCAGAAATTGAAGTTCAGGTGTAAAAATGATATAAGTTTTAGAAATTTTGGCCGATTCTTTGTTTAAAAAAATAATTTAAAAAATTTGGTTGTTTTTGTTCAGTGGTAAGAAGTTGTATAATTGTTCAAATAAGTAAAGAGAATTTATTTCCTTTGTCAGTTTGTAGAAGAATAATACCAGAGTGGTACACTGTATTACTCTATTAACTAGAGTAGAGGCCTTGTCTGAGGTCAGCCTCCTAGACGCGTCAGCAGTTGTCAGGCAATACTTCCGTCTGCCTGACCTACATTGCTAGCTGGCTCTATCTGCCTTCTGGCAGGTGGCGCTGTAGATAATGTCGTGTTGAAAATTACAATGTGTCCATGCTGTGAGTTGGCAATGATATCATTATTATGTTTCATTCTTGCGTAACTAGTTACAATTATTGTTTATGTTTTCAATTATAAGACCCGTCAGTTAATGGCGTTAAAACAGTCAACAGAATTAATTAGAATGCTTGAGAGTGCTTTTGAGATATTCTTGAGTAAAATTAGTTTCAACTGTTTACTTGGTTTGTGCTTCAAAAATTGTTCTTGGATGTTTATTATCTTCAAGGTATTTAAATGTCTATTTGGCTTTATTAAAATAAACGTGCAGTTTGGTAGGTATTTTGTTGGTTTTACCACATAAACTCCACTTAAATAAAAGAGGGAGCACTTTCACACTAAATGATGGGTGTCCGCCATGCATCGTTTGACTTCATTGCTTTTAGTATAGTTGTCCTAGTATAGTATAGTCCTAGCATTCATTGCTTATGTTATCTAAAACAACTTCTCAACACGATAATTGTAGAGAATTGTAGCAAGAATAAACAATAATTGTAACTAGTTACGCAAGATTGAAACATAATAATGACGTCACTGCCAACTCACAGCATGGACACATTGTAATTTCCAACACGCCATTATCTACAGCGCCACCTGCCAGAAGGCAGATATAAGGAACCTAAAAAATGTGTGAAGAAAGATGTGAAACAAAATGTGGAAAATATAAAACTATCAAAAATGCCCCTTGAGAAAAGTCCTAAACCCAATTTAGTCAACACTGGTGTTCAAACAGATCCATTGAGAGTACTCAATGAGACAGCAACAATTACAAAAGCTATGGAAACACCTTCTATGGAAATGAGCACCGACCCTGCACAGACAATAACTGTTTTAGGGGACAGCCATGCAAGGAGATTGGACCAGCATATTCAAGAAAGTTGTAGTGAAAAAATAAAAGTACATGGTATAATAAAGCCAGGAGCTGGAGTGGACTATATTATGCATGAGGCTCAGCATGTCAAACGATCAAAGAACAATTATGTAATCCTCATTGCTGGGGCAAACAACATTTACAATGGTCAGGTTGATTCCTCATGTAAAAAGCTGAAGTCTTTAGTGGTATCCTTGAAACCCTGCAGAGTAACTATAGCCAGCATTCCTTTTAGGAATTATTTGCCTCTATCAGACCAAAAAATCCTTGAAACCCTGCAGAGTAACTATAGCCAGCATTCCTTTTAGGAATTATTTGCCTCTATCAGACCAAAAAAATGAGAACATAATTAATTTTAATCTCTTTATTCATGAAATTACACATTCACTAAATTACACTTCTTTCCTAGACCTGACAGGTTGGCCCAAAAACTGTTTCGTGAGATCTGGAATCCATTTCAATTATATGGGGAAGAAATTAATTACAGTTAGAATATTGCAAAAAGTGTTGCATCAACAATTTGAGAGCTCTACAACTTCTAACCAATTTTCAAACAAACAAGCTGCCTGCAACAAGCAAGAAGCAAATGATGCCAGCTACCAAAACAATAGAGGTTCCTCTCCATCAAAACTGGCGTTACATATTAGAAAAGACAATGCATCTGTAAATATAATTGAAGCTGACATGAAAAAAGTTGTTAAACAATTTTACCTGGATAGTGAAATTGCTTTCGGGCATTGCATCTCTGCAGATTTTGAAGATGAACGACATATGTCCGCAGTTGTCGCAAAAGTTTTTAAAACACTAGTGGGAAAACCTAAGGCTTTGGACCAATTAAATAAACACCTGGCTTGTCAATACAAAAACAACAGTGCAGTTACATACAGCCTGATAAAAAAAAAACTACAGCTCAAAGCCTTCTTTGCCAGACTATGATAAGTCCTTCCATCACCTTACAGAAGATTTCAAACAGAGGGGTTTGAAGAGACTAATTTACTCCCCAATGGGATGTTTACGAGACAAAATCCCTCCACGTCATTTTATGAAAAGACTACTGGAGTTTAAAGAAGCTACGGGGGCTAGTGTGAGTATCATTCTGTTTGAGGAAAGATTGAGAAATAGGTCATTAAGAATAAGAATAAGTTTCTTTCCTCAAACAGAATGATGCTGGTTCATTGAGAAGCGGACTACCACATCAAGAGTTTAAAGAAAAATTGCAAGATTTTATATTAAATAACTTGCCTAACTACTCATATCTGAAGTCAAAAGAAGATCAGATACTGAAAACGCCCATACCTGTTAAAAAAAAAAACATACTGACTCAACCTGTGGACACCACATCAAACCATGAGATTGGCATGGGAATACATCAGTCTGCTGAAGAGTCTGTAGAAACCAATCTAGGAGGATCAGGGACAGCCTTTCATGATGTGACATCTAGCGACATTTGTTTTGACGACTCCTCATTGGAAAAATCAAGTAGGAATACTAGTTTTTTAAGCAATATAAAAATAGATCAGTTTCAAACTTAACATGTCATAAATCTACCGTAAACTCTAGCAATAGTACTCTGATAAAATGTTCATTACTTCACCAAAATGTACAGCACCTATCATCCAGATTAGAAATCTTAAAACTTAGATTTCCAATGATCACAGCAATGGCTGTTAAAATTTCTTGCAATCATGGCAACGTCTGTTATTCATAATGGTTTATCGCGATCACGATTTTCAACTACGTAATACAAGAAAAATCTGTGATTTCTGGCGGATTTTTCAGTTATCATCTTAAAATTTCAATTACCTGGTTCTTTACAAAATTCAAGTACAATTTGCGGTTTTCCCTGGTTTCCAAGTCAGCTAGACACCCTGAGATAGCCTATCATAAGAGCAGGTGTCCTGTGCTACTGTATGTGTGTAGCCTGTCAAAGCCTTACTTTTTAAAATAGCCATTGAATTAGACAATGAAGGTTTACCTTGGTAGCCAGGTCAGTTTCCAGAGCAGACACTCGTTCATGCAGTTGCTCTGATAGTTCATGCAGCTGTGCCACATCTTGTTGATGTGAAGCTGCCAGTCTCTGAGCTTCCAGTCTCAGTCTACTCACTTCTCCTTGTAAGTGTTCAATCAAGTGATCCCTAAAACAGTAACCCTTAAGTGAAAAATACATTTACTGATATAGATGGAACCAGTTATCGAATATATATTATTTAAAACATCTGTCGTTGAGTGTCAAATCACTCAAATCCTTAAAATTTCATGAAAATACTAAAATGATCACTCTAGTCTATGTTAGTGGCACTTCATCCTCGGTAGTGAAGTTAATCTAACCCACTTGGTAATTGGTAGTGATGTGTCGGAGCCTGATGAAAAGCTTCAGTACCTTCTGTTCTTGGGTAAAGTACCAATACAAATAACTGGCATTATAACTAAAAGTCAGCACTGTAGTATATTATTAAAGTAAAGTAGCAAGAGGAATTTATGTTTATGAATTGGCTACACTGACCACCGATGACGACAACAGCTGACGTCACAGCCCGATGTCGGAGACAAGCAGTCTAGCAAATGAGTAACAGGTTAGTGGACGTAATATACGATACCTGTAGTTGTAATAATGGCGCAGTCGCCGGATTAAATATTGGTTTTGTCGCAGTAAAACTAGTGAAAGTTTTGTAGAGTGCGTTCTTTAAAACCGCAAAAATGCGAAATGTCGAGTATCGGTAGAGTCTCGGAATTTAATCCCCACGAAGAGGACATCAGTTCGTATTTATTACGACTCAAGCATTACTTCAAGGCCAACGATGTCAAGTCGACAAATCATGTCTCCATCTTGATAACAGTGATTGGGCCTAAGATTTTGGCTGTGTTAATGGACTTAATATCCCCTAAGAAGATTGACGATGAAACATACGAAAGCCTAAGTAAAACATTGGAAGAACATTTTGCTCCTAAAAGGCTCGTTGTTGCGGAACGATATACGTTTTATAGTCGTTGTCAAAAACCGGCAGAGTCAATAGCGGAATTTATGGTCGCTATCAAACATTTAGCCAGTACTTGTAATTTCGGTACATTCTTAAATGATGCTTTGAGGGACAAACTAATATCAGGCATTAGTAATGATGGAATAAGGCAAAAGTTGCTTTCCGAAGAATTAGATTTGAGCAAAACTTTTGCTCAAGCGCTCATGCTAGAACAGGCTGAAAGGCAAACAGGCTTATTCGGGAATCATCCTGTGCAAGATATTTCCAAATTTAGTGTGAAAAAGTGTGCACGTGGTCCTGTGAAAAGTGGGAATCCTGCTGGGTACAAGTTAAAATCTTTTGAAGAGAAAAATAATGATAACAAGATAAAGTGTTATCGTTGCACAAGTTGGGATCATAAGGCTCATATGTGTCCTTATAGTAATTATAGGTGTAATTTGTGTAGAAGAGTAGGCCATCTTAGCAAGGCGTGCAAATCTAAAGGCGAAACTGCCGCAAAAAGCCAGCTAAAAGGAAGGTATAAGGTGCATCAACTGGAAGATAAAGGGAAGCCTAGCCTAGACATAAATGAGGAAGTGGAAAATTTGTCTCTATATAATATTGGCTCATGCTCAAGTAACTCTGATTACAAGGTAAGGCTAGCTATAGAGAATGTGCCTGTAGTTATGGAAATTGACACTGGTTCGGCACTGTCAGTGTGTCCTCAGGAAATATTTGAGAAATATTTTTCTCACGTTCCATTGAGATCTGTAGATATTAAGTTGTTAACCTATTCTGGCAACGAAGTCATAGTAACTGGGCAAGCTCAAGTCAATGTTGACTACAAGGACCATTCTTATTGTTTGCCTATGATTGTGGTTCAAATAAATCGTACTAACCAACCAATGCTCTTAGGAAGAAACTGGATTAAGCACATTGATTTAGATTGGAAATCTATTTTCTCATGTAATTTTGCTAGCGCAACCGCTACTGGTAGTCATGAACCCAAGCCTAATGAGGCAGCCAAAGATGGGGTTTCACCTAACCTAACCGGAAAGGTTTCTATAGAACCTAATGAGGTTAAGGCATTAAAACAAAAATATGTCTCTGTATTTAGAGGTGGTCCGGGGGAGATCAAAGATGTTGAGGCTAGGATAGTCTTAAAAGAAAACTCTATCCCTAAGTTTTGTAAATATAGACCTGTCCCGTACGCTTTGCGTACTTCTGTTGAACAAGAGATTGATCGGATGATATCCGAAGGTATTGCCTACCCTGTTACAAGCTCACAGTGGGCTACCCCAATAGTAGTTATACAAAAGAAACAAGGCGTCCGCTTGTGCGGGGACTTTAAAGTTACTCTGAACCAGGTTATACAGTCAGAACATTATCCGTTGCCGCAGCCCGAAGATATATTTGCCTCGTTAGCAGGCTGTAAATGTTTTTCTGTGTTGGATTTGGAGGCGGCGTACCTCCAGCTTGCTGTTGCAGAGGAGTCTCAGGAACTTCTAACATTGGCGACACATAAAGGTCTCGTGCGGCTACGTCGCTTACCATATGGCTTGTCGTCAGCCCCGGCCCTCTTCCAGGCGGCGATGGACAAGATAATTGGAGGACTCCCAGGTACAGTGGCGTACCTGGATGATGTGTTGGTTGGTGGATCATCCCGAGAGGAGGCTCTAACAAGATTGGAACATGTTCTGCAGCGACTTCAAAGCTATGGAGTTAAGACAGATCATGCGCCTTTGGTTGCCATTTTTGGAAGTAAGCGAGGAGTGCCGTGTGTAGCTGCGGCTCGTCTGCAACGCTGGGCGTTGATTCTGTCAGCCTATAACTTCGAGGTGAAGTACAGGCGAGGGGTGGATCTCCCTCATGCTGATGGCTCATGGCCCTTTCAAGATTGCCGCTGCCCAATGATGAGACCATGGAATTGGAGGCCAATCACCTCTCTCACGTGGAAAATGTGGTGGAAGTATTTAGCTGCTACAAATTGGTGTGTGACGACACACCTATTACGGCTAAAGATATTGCTAGATTGACTGATAGGGATCCTGTGTTATCAAAAGTAAGGGACTTTATTTGGCACGGTTGGCGTTCGGCCGATGAACCTGAGTTAATTGCATATTTCAGAAGGAAGGATGAACTGTCGGTTGACAACAATTGTGTCGTTTGGGGAGCACGAGTAGTCGTGCCCGAAAAGCTTCGGAGTGCTGTAATCCGATTACTACATGACCAGCATCCAGGAATATCGCGTATGAAAATGTTAGCCAGGAGCTACGTCTGGTGGCCTGGTCTTGAGAAAAACATAGAGGAAACAGTGTCTACCTGCACTGTTTGACAGTGCACTAGAAATGCTGCCGTTAAGGTGCCATTGTATCAATGGCCTAGAACTACCAACAGATGGCAGAGAATTCATATTGACTATGCGGAAGATCCGCAAACTAGACAACAACTGTTAGTTATAGTTGACAGTTTTTCAAAATGGCTTGAAGTATTTCTTATGAAATCAACTACATCATTCAAAACCATTGAAAGATTACGAACCTTGTTTGCTGCTTATGGGTTGCCGGAAGAACTGGTAAGTGACAATGCACCTAATTTTACGAGTGCCGAGTTCAGGGAGTTTCTGAGTAGGAATGGTATAAAATTCACCTTGTCACCCCCCTATCACCCTGCGTCCAATGGCGCAGCCGAAAGATGTGTGCAAGAGGTAAAGAAAAATCTGCAGAGGCAAGTGATAGAAAGTCAATTGGAAGGTGTTACCTTACAGCATAAATTAGACAACTTCCTGTTTGTGTACCGGAACACACCCAGCACAGTAACTGGACTCTCACCAGCCGAGTTGTTTCTCCAATGGAAACCCAGAACAAAATTAACCCTACTTAAGCCTAATTTGTTGTCAGTGATTGATAAAAAGAAGGAACAGCAACGTTCAGCTGCAAACAGCATCCGAGGTGGTGCTAGATATTTTGGCAAAGGAGATAAGGTGTGGGTGAAGACGGTCAGAGGGGAGCATGTGTCCTGGGTTCCGGGAAAAGTGATGGAGCAAAGAAGCCCTGCGACTTATGTTGTAAGTGTGTTAGGCAAGGTCCGGTTCTGTCATGCGGACCATCTGCGTTCCAGTCTTCTGGGAGACGAAGAGGAGACTTTGGTGGATAGGCGAATTCCACAGCCATCACCAGTCAAGGCGTCACCTCCGGTTAGGCCTATTTCACCAGTGAAAATACCTAGCCCTCAGCCAGCGGCGATAACGCCCTCACATCAGAGGCGAAGCCTGCCAGAAGCATCTAGCCCTCTACCAAGACTTGAAGAAAGACATGAAGTGCAGTCAAGCCCGCAACTTCTTAGACGGTCTCAACGGGCCGTTCGTAAGCCGAGGAGGCTTGATCTTTAAGTAAACAGTCGAATGTGTAACTGAAGAAGTAATTTTTATTTTGAGTTATTTGAAGAAAAGTTTTAAGTTAAATGCAATGAACTATGGACTTTGAAATTGGTTAAGGATTTTTGGTATTAGGCCTAGGATTATTATTTAGGCCTATTAAAGGAAGAGCTTGATTTTAAGTTGGGGCGAGTGTAGTATATTATTAAAGTAAAGTAGCAAGAGGAATTTATGTTTATGAATTGGCTACACTGACCACCGATGACGACAACAGCTGACGTCACAGCCCGATGTCGGAGACAAGCAGTCTAGCAAATGAGTAACAGGTTAGTGGACGTAATATACGATACCTGTAGTTGTAATAAGCACCATTTAGTAATTTGGTACCCATAGAGCACGTGTATAATGGTGGTACAAACAATGATGGCTTCGCACAGCAGTATTGGGCGAATTCAAGATCGGCAAACGAGGCAGTGAAGGAATTTTAATTAATTTTGGATTTGGCCATACAACAAGAATGGTCCAAATCTTCCTACCATCACCTAGTTGGCGTCCTTATCTAATAATAACAATAAATTATAATATTCCTAATTGCAACTAAAAGATAGAATTGAATAAAAATTTAGATGAATATTTATAAGTAACCAAAATATTCTTACAGATGAATAGAAAAGGTCAGGTTGCTTTAAAATAGCCCCTCCGAAGCAAACCTGCAGACTAAGCAAATTTCCATTTACCTGACTAGTCTTATATATTTAAAAAAACTTTTGCAAAACTTATGACAGCTAGACTAATGGACTGAATTACACGGGGTTGGTAACAAATGAAAGATATTTTTCTGTAATTGTGCAGAATCCCTTTATAGATTAAAATAGGCCAAAAAATAAGCACGAAAAATGAATTTGAAATTAAAAAAAAATTTACATGGGCCTTATGGGTTGCCATGCTGGTGACAAAATAACAACAAAATATAAACAGAAAATCAAAACAAATGGAAGGAATTCCAATCACATGTTTTATTTACAGCGTGGGGTAAAATAGAAAAGGTTGCACAATACATAATTTTGGTTAGTTTTCGACCATGGGGCGAGCTCTCGTTTACACTAAAATATTCCCTTAAAATGTCAGATTTATTTCCTATCTATATATAAAGCTAACAAGAATCACAAACTTTTAAGAAACCTGTAAGCTGCACACCTATCAATTAACCGCATACTTGAATCAAGTCGGTCTTGATGTGAAACTTCCCAATAAATATAATTTTTATGATAAACCCTCTCCTAAGGGCACGAACCTCAATTAAAGGGATGCATTCTGTTGTATTTGTTTTTATCCATAGGTTCTTTTTTACTTTTCCCTGAGGTAATATTTGAATTCTAATCATACAGTAGAACTCCAACTATGCGAATCAATTGGGATCAGACCCCATTCAGATTATAAGAAATTCAGATAGCTGGAGTTTCACCAAAACTCAAGGTTTTAAAAGAAAATAAGCCGAGTCATGTCGAGCTATTACTATAGCGATTGTATAAGGTGTCTGCAACGATTTTACGATCGGAAAATCTACGCTTTCGCCACGATTGCGGAGAACATCTATGACTTTCCGTGACCGCAGGAGACAATTATGATGTCTACAAGACCAGGGAAGATGTTAAAAATATTGCTGCAATCGCGGAAAGCGATGTCAATGTTTCCATGACTGCGGGAGACAATGATGATATTCACGATTGCAAGAGAGGTTTTTGATTTTGCCACAAGGCGCCTGTCTTCTTTATAACAAGTCTTATTACTGTGGTTTTAAGTGTTTTTTTTTGTTTTTTTTCTGTAAGCGATTCAGATAATTGTTGATTCGGATAGTTGGACTTCGGATAATTGGAGTTCTACTATAGATGTTTACATTAAGATAAAGTTATTAGTTATGATACTGCCATCACATTTTAATGTAAATACACAAGAAATGTTTATTAAAATAAAAGTACAATTGAAATTTGCCTGTATTTGTCTGCAAGTAAATTTACTTGGTAAGTATGTGTAACTTTTTTACTTCTTCCCCCTATACATATAGTATATGGAGAAAGTATTGTTTTTGTCAAAATTTTCGAGTTTGAGTCTTGAGTGAATGTGTCCGAATAGGGTCCCCCTGAACCCAAAAAAGTGGTTTTCAAAGTGATATCTGCCCGTGTGTGTGCCTGTATATGTGGATGTGTACAGAGCTAAGACCACACCTGTAGTCCGATTTTGATGAAATTTGGTGTGTAGGTACCGGTACTAATCCATAATATCTCTAGCTTTTTCTAAAATAAATGGCCCAAATGATTTTGGTAAAAATTTAGTATGTTGTAGCCCTTTAAATTCTGAACAAAATTATAAAACTCCCATTCCTGTAAAATTTATGGTTCAAAAGTTATTGTAACTCATGTTATTTTCCCATTAAAACCCTATGAAAAAACGGAAAAATGGATTTTAAAAAACGGTTCTGATTGAAATTCAACTGTTATGGACTATGGTCCTTATAATTCTAAACAAAATAGTGCAGCTCCCCCTTCTTGTAGAAATAGGGGTTCAAAAGTTAATGCAACTTTTGTGATTTTCGTATTAAATATAATTGTTACTCTCATCACTTACCCTTGATAAAGGTTGTTGACAAGGTAATGGGAGAAAGTATGTATCACACTGCTGATACCGTTTATTTCCAGTAGATTTAGAAACCCACATTATTCTCTTAGGTATTCTTGTCTCAAAGACATTGCGAAGCATGGGTAGAAGAACATAACTAGTTGAAATAACATTAATTTTAGTACTTAGGTTTGCTGCAACAGGGAAGGTAGCGAGGTGGGTTTTTTTATGGAAATAATGATAGCTAAGTTTCAAAACAACAAAATTGCCAAATTAAATTAGCCTAAGATATTTCCTGAAACTAGCAAACAGCAACAGTGTTATTATTGTTTATAACTTTATAATTAACTGACACTTTATATATTGTTTTTGGCCTCTAGGGACCTCAAAACAAAAAAGTAAATTCCCTATAGGCCTATGGGAAATTCTCTAAAATTATGAATACTATTTCGTTTGGTTCTAATGATAGGTGCACTAACAACTGATTTTGGTGAGGTACCAGGACCGGTACAGACTGGTAATGGGTATTTTGGAATTTGACTAATTCACCTCTGTGCCAGAACATCTGGAGACACGGAGCCGTTGGTGTGGTTGTTAGTTGCACTGATGTCTACCAGGTCTGCTGTGGCACTAGTGATGGGAGGCTCTTCAGGAGGTTCCTCAGGCAGAATGACGACCGGAGTCACGTAACTTCTCAACTCTGCTTGGATCAGTAGGTTAGGAGGGTTCTAAAGTCAATGAATAATAATGTTATGTTTGAGGTCTAAAAATATAACTACATGGCATGTAAGTACATAGCAACTGGAGCCAAAATGAATACACTTAATATTTGTTTACAGATATTAAATAGTAGTAATTTTTGCCCACTCAAGATCTGTTAAGGGTAAAAAGTCTGTTAAATATTTAAAGTACTTTAAATATTTAACAGACTTTTCACCCAAACACAGAATCTTTTAAAAGCAAGATTAGAATAAAATAATCAATAATGACATTTGGATTAAATTCGACAAGGGAATATTTCTAGAGAAAACTTACATTTATATATTTTTAACCCTGTGAGCAAAATTTGGGGTTCAGGGCCTTTTTTAAATTGAATAATAAATTTGAACTATTTTGGGTTTTAAGTTAAACATTATTGTCATTAGTGGTTATTATAACTATTGTTATATGATTTTGAGAAACAAATAAAAAAAAAATATTCTCCCTTTGATACATCAAAGAATAGATACTACGGCATCCACAAAATACTTTTGATCATGATTCACACACTAATACATGGGGATATCCATAATAGCATGACTATTCTACAGTAAAACAAATTTTAAACTTTACAATCACATCTCTAAATGCTAAAGAATAAGTACAACATTTTGTTTACAAACTACAGGGTATATATACTGTATTTTTAACACATTTGCTACCGATCTCCACATATTTGCAAAGCTACTGTCATTGCCACGGCCCGAGATATACATTTTAATATTACACATAGACCAGTTGTCCCTTGGTTAACACTGCAGTAAACGCAGATCGCGGGCCAGTGATGAAGCAAAGGGATGGACGGGTCCGGAAAATATTCCCGATTTTTGGGACGGGATTACATTTGATTCAGGAATTTTTCGGGACGGGATTTGATCAGATCATCGGCGATTTTGCCGCTTCGCAAGTGACGATGACGCCGCTATTGCGAGAGGTGTTCACAATAGTTCCGCGAACGCAGGAGGCGAAGTTATTTCAACAATCGCGCCGTGACCGCGAGTAATTTCGACGATCATGCCGTGACCGCGAGTCATACCGACGATCATGCCGCGACCACGGAGTCATACCGTGATCACGCCGTGACCGCGGAGTCATACCGACGATTGCACCGTGACCGCGGTGTCATACTGACGATCACGCCGTGACCACGGAATCATACCGTCGGTCATTCCGTGACCGCGAGTCATACCGACAATCAAGCCATGACCTCAGAGTCATATCGACGATCATGTTGTGCCCGCGAGTCATACCGACGATCACGCCGTGACCGCGGAGTCATACCAACGATCACGCCATGACCACGGAGTCATACCGTCGGTCATTCTGTGACCGCGATTCATACCGACTATCATGTCGTGCCCGCGAGTCATACCGACGATACCGCGGAGTCATTTCGACGATCACGCCGTGACCGCGAGTCATACCGACGATCCCCGGATTGGGCGTTCAGGTTGAAGTACGGCTCTGAAACGGGCCGTCACTACCTCGCTCTGTCCGCCAGGAGTGGGGATAAAGGCATGACTCACCCTATTGCCGAGCGTCAGGCCTGCTCTTGCCGCGTATTGCTAAGTTAGTTTTGTGGAAATATTACAATTAAATTGATTGTAATGAACTTAAGGAGGTTTTATAAGCAGATATAATTAATGTAGGTACTTGCTTTGAAATGAAATGCTCACTCTATAAGAAATTTAGAGATGTTATGAAAGAGTTCGATTTATTTATATTTGAACATTGGCCAGAACAAAATATCACAATAATCATCATTTGCCACTGTGAGCCCCAATTATTATTGAGAGACTTTGCAACGTGTAAGATTATACATTTTGTTTATATTACTACAGTATGATTCTTTGTCATACTGCGATTAACATGTTTGCAAAATATATTATATGTTAAGTAAAAGGAGTGTATAATATTTTATGCCAATATCATGCATGTCCTGAATATTAGTACAAGTGATGTTCCTTTATGAAGAAAGAAGACAGCTGGCTACAACAATGAACCACTGAACATTTGTGTGAAATTAAAAAACTCCTTCTCTTCTCTATTGGGCCTTCAACATCTTAAATTCAGTGAGGGAATTTTAATCCCTAAGTAAAATATTCAAATAAATGTCAAAGTGATTAAAAGTATTTAATACTAACAACAGAAAAGTTAGCCTTTATATATATATTTTATTTTTTCTATTTTAAATTTGCAACTTACTGCCACATCAAGATCGATCTATACCTATTAAATTAATTTTCCACTGTGACTATGAAGAACCAACCTGGTGAGAACTATTTGTGAATATTACGCTTATCCTACTTCAAGAAATGTAACTTAACAAAGACATACTTTATTTCCAATCCGATCAAACCTAATTAGGCTCACAATTAAAAAAAATTATCTTTATTTCATCAATAATAAATTCAGTAATCCAATCTGAACAAGAGAGCTAAATTCAACAACCTTGATTAATTTTTCACCTAGCTTATTCAATTCATTGTTGGGCTATTTAGCTACCTATCCAAGCCTAAGTGTAATATCAATTAATTATTCCCATTTTTTTTAATTGGCATATGTTATTTAATAAATTAAGATATTTGAAGATCTTTTGAGTCAGCCGAATTCCTCCCCCTGAGAATATAACTTATTAACTTGTTTGTAAACTCATTGTTCTGATTTACTGAGCTGAACCAAAGATGGCGACCCTTTGTTGTTCATTTTAATAAAATTATCAAACCACATCCACATTCATTGTAATATCCTATTCTTAGTTCATTACATCCTAGTAAAGGTACAAACCTGAACCAAGTTTATTAGTCCAAATTACAAAGCACTACCAATAACAAAATTTGTTTAACACTTGAGCCAATTGGTTAGTGATATAGATTTGTTAATTTAACAGCATAAACGCATTGTATTCTTTTACATGTTTGGTAGAAATGGAGCTCAGAATATTTACATCATCTCCAACAGCGCGGGAAGTGGGCTCAACACATTCAAAATCTTCAAGTAGGAGACCTTCTTCTCATAAAGGATCCAAACATACCTCCTCTTTACTGGCCTACTGGACAAATTGTTGCTGTACTTCCAGGAAAAGACAATACGGTTTGAGTTGTAACTCTACGAACTTCATCTGGACAATTAACACAACCAGTGGTTAAATTGTGTCCACTACCCAAAGAATAAGTCAAACCATGAGTTTTGTTTTGAAGAGATTTTGGTTTTTTTACTTTTTAGTTTCAAGTAAGTTTCTTGAATATTTTTTATAAAATTACATTCTATAAAAAAAAAATGAGAAGAACTTAATTTGATTTATTTGAAGAAGAGAAGACTTTTTCCTCTCAGAAGAAATTTTAATTGCAGTTTTAAAAGAGGAAGTAGTTTTTTGTGTAAGCTCATGAACTTTAATTACATTTTGAGAAGAAAGAAAACTTTCAGTTTTGTTTTGGTTGACAGTTTGTTTAGTAGCTATTCGAAACTTTATTTTTTGGCAATTCTCCTGCACGCACATACTCCATAATCTTGTCCAATGCCTGCCTTTCATGAGCACTAAAAACAAGCTGATGGTGTTCTACTCTAGCTAGAAGAGGATTGAGTTCACCCCACTTGATTTCAGAATGTAGGGTGAGTCATAACCTCCTTTTGCTCTCTCCTTTTTAACCATTTTAATTTTCGCCAGTTTTTTACTATTCATCCCGCAGTATAAAACAGTTACCATATCCACAGACCAAGTGACGTACATATGTGACAGACTTCCCTGTGGACCACTGCAGAGAATTCAGGGCCTTAAAATAGACCGTTATGAAGATATAAGCTTTTTAATAAAATTGGACATTGACACACATATGCGACAGCAGTCTATGGGTAGAAACCGGGCGTCACATATGTGCGTCGCTGGTCCATATGGATGAAAAATTTGGTACTATTGTGGAAGCAAACGTGTGAAATTGAAATTCCAGGTTTTCAAAGTTTTCCTGGTTCTTGCGTGAATGTTTCCTGCATGAACATTATATTGATTCCCGGGTGAATGCCGAGTAAACTAGAACCAATTCAAGGCCCACAACTAAATTTGTTCTCACATCACATTTGTAGGCTATATTTCTAATCGTTCAAAAGTTTCCAAAGTCCAGTGGTTGCAAAAATAATACTCCTTACTATCATTATCATCATCACCTAAGGTCATCACTCCCAAGGTTTGTAGACATTATCACGGTTTCCCACAGTCACAGAAACATTATCATCATCATCCGCGATCGTGGAAAAATTCTGAGAATCTTCTGTAGTTTTTAGACATTATCTTTGTCTCCCACGGTGACAGAAACAACATTATTGTCTTCTTGATTGCGTCAAAATCCTGGACATCACCCGCGGTTTGTGAACATTATCATATCATCATCTCCCACGATCACGGAAACATTATCATCACCCGCGATTCCATGGTTTGTAGACATTATCGTCGCCTCCTGTGGTTATGGAAACATTATCATAGTCATCCGCAATCGCAACAAATGGGTGAACTTTCAATCTAGCAAAATTAGCAGACTCGTTTAACGATCGCGATCTTTTACCGGGGCATAAACAAAAATCCCGGAATGGCTCCAAAACTATGAAATGTACAACTAATGTACAAGAAAAGATACTCAATACCAAGCAAAAATCTGTTTAGGCATTTGGGAGGGGAGTGGGTTCTATCAGTTTACCTGTCAAAATTGTAAAACATTTCCCACAGAGACAATATTGGCATTAACTAGCAGTTAATGTTAGTTATGTTTACATACAGCTTTAATCAATTTAAAAGAGAGTACTGCAGTAATGTAGTTGTTAAATAACTAAGAAATTAAAATACTATATTCATTTAATCTCCAAAAGACTTATTTCTGTCATTTATTTGTAATGTGCCTTCTGGATTGATTAAATGGCATAAAATAAGGTTACTGACCTGTAGTCAATAAATCCTATAAGCTATTTTTTAGTGGATGAC